GAAGTGGCTTTAGCTTCTTAGTGCTGTGCTTTAACCCGCTGCACCACCAAGGAGAGCCATATTAAGAGTGCTGTTCATTGTTGCTAAGATCATCTACATCTTTGTACAATCAAGCCACCAAAACAGTCCATCTTGCAAAACTCTGTACCCATTAAACAACTCTTCGGTTTTACTTCCAGTCCATGTGGCAGCCATTTTCACTTTCTGTCTCAAAAATTTAATTACTTTAAGTATTTCATTTAAGTGAAGTCAGACTCTTTGCCTATTTGTTATTGCTTATTTCACTCAGCATAATAGCTTTAAGGCTCATCCATGTTGTAACATGTGTTAAAATGTGCTTCCTTTTTAAGACTGAATACTATTCTATTGTATGTTTATACCATATTTTGTTATCAATTCACATTGGTGGACATTTGAGCTGCTTCCACCTTTTGACTATTGTGAATAATTCTGTTGTCATGGGTATAAAATAGCTATTCGAGATGATTTCAGGCACATACTCAGAAATGAGATTGCTGGATCATATAGTACTTCTATTTTTAATTTTTTAAGTAATGTCCAGTTTTCCACATTTGCACTCTCATCAACAATTTACTGAACTTCTCCAAATTCTTGAAACACATTTTCTGTTTTTTTTTTTATACTAGCCAACTTAAAAGGTGTGAGGTAAAAGAGTCATTTTTCTATAAATATATTTGGTTTCATCACAACTGTGAGAAATCTATTTACACTGAAAATAAAACAAACAAGAAATTGTTATTCTTTGTGCTTCTGAGTTAGCACCTGGGCACGTGAACAGCTGAGTCAGTGATGGGCAAAGTGAGCAGATGCTCCTGTGAGCAGCATGGGAGAAGAACACCACACCAGCCAGGAATAGCCGGTCTCTCTGGTCGGCACCTCAGAGTGCTCTAGTAGAAGAAGCAGTTCCGAAAGGATGAAAATGACTGGGCTCATTTCTTTTATTCATGCAGTAAATATTTATTACTTACTTCCTATGTCCAAAACATTGTTTTAGATACTGCAAGTATAGCACTAAACAAGGTGAGGGGGGCTCTGCTCTCCAGAGTTCACATTCTAACAAGGAAAGAGGAAATAATAAACAAGCAAAGACATAAACAGGATAATTTCAGCCAGAGCTAAATGCTGTGAAGCAAGAAAACATGAAGGTCATATGAGAGCTGAATCTTGGATTTCAGCTCTGTGACCTAAGGCTATACAGTATAGAGATAACCTAAATATAGGGTTGCCTAAATATAAAGGTAGATGGTTACTTTTAAAAATATAGTCAAGAAACATTTATTGAGCACCTACTACATGCTGGGTCCTGGGATTCTAATGAAAGAGACAAAAGAAATATGCTGAAAACTCAAAAGAAAAAAATGTTATATAAAGCACTTCAAACAGACTGGTATACAATAAGCCTTCCATAAAGTTTCACTGTGTTATTTGCATTTTAAGTATTATTATTATCAAGAATGTTTCTCCTAGCTCTAAAATTAAACGTTCAAATTAAATCCTCTTATCTAGGAAGATTATTAGTGCTTAGTGGTGGGTGAGGTATAGTAACATGAATTTGAAGAGGTGTGAGCCTTAATTCCCCTAAAATGTGTTTAGTAACATAAACCAATTATTACCTCAACTTTAAAAATAATTCAATTTTAAAAATTGACATTCTGTTGGAACATAATAACTAACTGACAAGGACAAAAAAAGCCTATCCTAAGCCTACCACCATTTTCAGATTAAAGCAGAGGCAATGACATAAGATTATAGATGTCTGTGTGTATAGATATACATGCATATATTATATATGCACATATGTAAGTATTTACTATATTTTCTAAATTGTCAAAAAGATTCACTTTTTTAAAATCACTGTCGCGATGAGATTTTACCCTCCCCATCCCTATCATTTCTTGTCTCCTAAATAATAACTTCCAAATCTGTGCAAGTATATCTTCCCTAACTTCTCTTAACTTTGGTCTACATTACAGGCTGTTCATCAGAGTTACAATTCCAGTCTCTGGAAATAGCTTGTGTTCACATCCTGCTCCCATACTTTTCTGCCTGGGTGGCCCTGCACAGATTATGGGACTTCTCCATGCCCTGGTTTTCTCATTCTGAAAATAGACGGATATCTTTTCACTAGTTCAGGATTGAGAGACTCTCTATATAAAGTGCCTGGCACATAATAAGCATGTTCTCAATTTAGCGACAGGTGTTTTCAACATCTATAGCAAGAAACCTGAACATGCATCTGTAAACTGAAACTAATAATATATACTTCACTGGATTGCGATAATCTCCTTTCTTTAGGAGGAAGTTAAACCTGTGATGAACTGAGCGAGAACACTTAACCTGTGTTTCTTACCCCTCATTTACCCCTTCCTATTCCCCACATGTAATTTCTCCCAAAAATATTTAGCTTCCATACACGAGATCAGTACCTGTGATCACTCCTGCAGTTATGAATACAATTCCTTAGTCATTTGAACGCCCTTTGCCTGGCCTTGGGGACTAAGATGCCTTGGACTAAGATCCAGGTGTTTCATTTCACCTCCTGGGCCCTCTCTTCACTCGGAACAGGGCCCTACGCTGGCTAATCAGGGGCAGTCCTCAGCCTGTAGCTGCCACAGTGACCTCTATCTCTTCTGCCTTATGCCTCTATACCCACGCTCCTTCATGGGACCGCGCAACCTTCCCAGGACTCCACTTCTTATCCTTGTAGCCTGCTTTCCTTCAAGCTCATGCCTGAACTCCATAAACACCAGATCTAAATTGGATCTAAACTGACTCCAAACCAAATTGGCCCCTATCACCGGCCCTCATCCCATTTAGAAAAACAGCCTGAAAAATTGGGCCAGTTTGTTCATTGTGTGAGCTCCTGTTACTGTCGAGTATTGCCCATTCACTCTGCCATCTTCCACACCTGCTTTTGCAGCCCATTCTTCATATTGGTTTTCACTACTGTCCTCTAGTTTTGAATGGAATCGCAGATATATTTTTTAAAACCATATCACAAAGCCTCCTGTATCTACTCCTTCCTTCCGAAAGCAAATGGCCTAAAGTGTTAGCCTTGGCCTTCCATCACCCCAAGGATTCCCACAGGGCTTGTCTTTTTACTTCTGATAGGATCTTCAAAACACACCCAACTTCTCTGTTGATCTGAAGCCTAGCAGCTCCCTAGGCCCCAGATTTGAACTACTGCCAATATGTCTCTCTAAACCATTCTGATTTGTTAATCAAGATCCATTCTACATAAATTCTATCTAAGCAGTGGCTCCTATTGTTTATGAAACAGATCCTCTCTTTAAAACTTTTCTTAAAAGATCCTTCTATTGTCTGCTTCCTTTACAATATCAGCATAAAATTTCCATTTCTTTATTCTTCCTGTTATTGTGTATTCCCCTAGCTATGATGAAAGCAAAACAAAATCCTTCTCCTATCCTTTACTCCAACTTCTTTCCCTCCTATGCTTCTAAACTCTTGCTTCTGCTCTCCTGTTATTCAGAAGTTTTGAAGGTTGTAGATAAAAGCAAATAGGCCTTTGGAATATTTATATTGTAATATTGCTTGACAGAAATATCTCTGATAGTGCTTAGCCATTTTGAAAAATGCAGTGTTATCATATTTTTAAAAGCAACGTTTAGTATGAATGAGAGCTCATAATGCCTTATTAGTGGTGATCTTAAGAGGATAATTAGGGAGACATGGGAAAATTGCCTTATCCAAAAATATCTAGCAATGTATAATGAATATTAAATATTATTATTAAAGAACTATCCTTTGACTTAAAAAGGACTTTTTTTATTTTTTAAGATTTATTTATGGGCCCTCCCTGTGGCGCAGCACTAAGAAGCTAAAGCCACTTCAGCGTGAGTTCGATCCCCGCCCTGGAGGTGATCCACATGGTGTGGCAGACCTCTCCTGACCTGCCCGCTGCTCCCCTCAGCAGTGTACTTCGTCGAACTGGGGTACAGGCCAGAGGAGCACTGGCAGTGAGAGGATTCACCAGAGACAGAGTGGG